GAGGAGGAGGAGGAGGAGGAGGAGGAGGAGGAGGAAGAGGAGTGGAGCCCAGGTCCCCTGAGGGGCGGAGAGGAAAGACCGGAAGTGTGTCCAGGGCCCAGGAAGGTGCCCGTGTGGCCACGCTGGATGTCACTGCCTCAGCGAGGCCGTGGCCCAGCCTTGGTTCACCCTGGTGCCCTGGAGATGTCCTCCCAGTGCCTGGTCAGTGGCTGCTGCGTCCCGGTCGACAATGGCAGTCGTTTACTGCGAGCAGTGACCCAGCAGTGCGTGAACCGGATGTGCTCAGCGCCCTGGGTGCTGTGGGTCTTGTTTTCCTCGTTTCACAGCTGAGGAGATGGAGACGGGAGTGATTTACCTGTGGGTCTGGGGTCTGGGCAGGGGCGGCGTGTTTTTCACGGCAGCTCTGGCCAACACGTGGTGTGGGCCCCAGAAAGCCCTCGCTGCTCACACACCAAGCAGAAACCCCTGTCCGTGACAAGCGGTTACCTTTGGGCCCTCCAGGCAGTCGCAGGCATCAAGGCTGTTTCTGACCCTGCTGAATCTAGATAATTCTGCTCTGAACATCTATTTTTCTTTTCCATAATACTGGGGATCTAACCCAGAGAGCGTTACCACTGAGCCACCTCCCCAGCTCTTTTTATTGTTCATTTTGAGACAGTCACCCAGAATGGGCGTGAACTTGGGATCCTCCTGCCTCAGCCTCCCAGAGTGCTGTGCTCCCGTGCAGAAATACCCCTGGTGTGGGGAGCCATCAGCTCTGCCCGGCTCTGGGCCTTCACACTGGCTGCCCTCTGCTGCACCTGGGACCTGCCCTCAACCGCACCCGTCCAGCAGGGCCCTGTGGCTGTGACATCGTACTGTGCCCCGCCTTCAGCTCCTGTGCATCTCACCGCGTACCCTGAGTTAGTTACCGAGGCTCTCCCACCTTGTGTCTCTGTACCCTGTGGGCCCCAGTGCTTGTGCAGTGAGCAGTTGGCTCCAGCTACTGCAGGCCAGGTAAAGCACTAACTGGCCGTTTCATTCAGTCCCTTGGCAAGGACAAAGTCCCCAGGGACTGGCCGCTCTGCCTGAAGGACCCTGTGTCCCGAGACCCATGGTGCTCCAGCCAGTGTCTGTGTGAGCTCTTGCAGAGCAGCCCGGCTCCGTGCTGGCTTCTCTGCCCCTGGGGGTGAAAGGGGGTCTGTCTTCACTCGTCCTCTGCCCGGAAGGTCATCACTGAGTCCCTGCCCCGTCAGCACCTGTGTCGGCTCCGGGCCTCACAGAAGCTGAGAAGGATGAATGGAAGGAGGAGGCCCAATGCACAGCTCCCGCCCTCCGGACCTGGGCGCAGGGAGTTTGGCCTGGGACTTGCACTCTCCTGAGTCTCCTTGCAGTTGGCTCGAGCTCTCCGAGTCCCAGACCACTCCTGGAAACATCTGGATCCAGTATCGGGGCAGCGAGAGAGCAGCAGGTGGGAAGCCACCACGGGGTTGAGGCCTGGGGCTCGGTGTCTTTGCAGCCAGGGATCTGTGCACCTGTGTCTCCCAGGAGCCCTTGGGATGTGGTGACAGAGGTGGCTTCTGCACGGGGATGCAGACAGTGGGAGTGAAAACACACCGCTTCCCTGTTTCCTTCAGACAAGCTTGGTGTCCTCTACCATCCACGACTCTCCTTCCACATCAAAAAGCCCAAACTCCTGCCTATAGATGTGTTCCTGTTCACTAAGTAAGAGAAATACAACTCGTTTTCTTCCGAGCATTGTGCTTTCTTACTGTACAAAATCTCAAATTATACCAGTTGAATTTTCGATGCATATGCTAAGCAGTATGTTACATGTATGTGAAATTACTCAAAAATTCTGTGCAGTGGACTTTACAATATTGTACATGTCTTAAAATGAGCAAGCGGATAGTTTGTCACACAGAAATGGTTGTACGGTCCACTGAGAGATCAGAGACCAGGTTGGACATCACTCTGTGGTCCCTTTTGTGATTATAAAAAGCGCATTTCAGACGCTATCCCCATGGTTGCTCCTGGTGGAAACACAGCCCCCTCTGCCTTCTTGGGGTTGAACCATCGTGGTTGTGTAGCTTGGCCAGGCTCCTTATGCCTTATGTGACTCAGTTTCCTTGCCTACACTGTGAGGGTGATGGTGCTGATCTCACAGAGATGTGCAAATAGATGAGTTAATATTTGTGAATTCCTAACAGTTCTTCTATGCTCTGACGTGTCCATACGTATGAATGTGATTGATAGATTTTCTCTAATCCTGACCATCAGGATTCAATAGGGACCCTATAGTAGCTCCAGTTGTCACTGGATTGTCCAACAGCAGTGGCTATGTCTGGGGCCCAGGACCAGGCATTGGGATAGACTTTTTCTTCTTGTTCTTAGAGACCTCTTGATGTCAAGGGACTTAGTGACTGTGGCATACATGAACACTGAAAATTCTCCTGAAGCCCACGGGTGGCCCAGGCTGCAAGTTGGCCAGCCTGAGTGTGGCCAGACAAATGCCTGGCTGACGACACAGGGACTGAGGAACGTTGCTGTGTGTCACTGCGCTAATTCATCCAGCCTTTATACTGTAGCTCCACGCACTGAGCTCAGGTTGAGCTTTGTACAGTGTCCTCTCTTCCCATCATCACCAGAAACATGGAGCAAGGCACACTTTACAGACCAGGGAACTGGGTACAGAACCAGGGACTCATTCTAAACGCCCCAGCCTCGTAACGTCAGAGCTGCTGTCCTGTGTCACCTCCGGGACCAGAGCAGGAGGACCACACCGTGTGCAGGACCTGCAGTGCCAGGTTAGCAGCTTCATGTGCACACCACCGTCCAGGGCTGCCCTGCTGCCCCAGGCCGAAGGAGCTCCAGTGGGGGCAGGTGGGCCTGGGGATCCTGCACCTGTCTGGTCACAGGGAGATGAGAGTTGTGTTTAATTACACACAGGGCGATGTCACTGGTGCCCAGAGCCCACCCCAGTGCCTCGTCAGACTCGGAGGGGATTCTGTCCCCAGTAAGGGGCACAGACAGGCGGAGAGGCCACCAGGCCGGAGCCTCGGGATCCTGCTGTGCCTGGGTGTCAGTGACCAGTGGTCCTTTCCGGGCTCCTCTTGACAGCTCAAAGAGTTGGGTGGGACAAATGAAGACCATAAAGGCTTAACCTTTATTAATGGTAATGGTAAAAGAGTAAGAAAAGACGTGAAAGACAAGTGCTCCAAAGAAGTGCCCTGAAGAAAAGCAAAGAGAACACACACCCTGCGTGCTGAACGGTCCATTGCAGGCAGGAGAGAACCCGGCGGCGGCTGCCTTTCATAGCCTCTGACGTCACTTCCGGGCCGCCCTCGCGCATGCGTCCAGGCTGTGATGGCAGACTGCCGGCCTCCTCCATGGTTGCCAGTCCCGCCCTTCCAGCGCCCTGGTCGCCTCTCCCGTGTCTCCTTCCTGGGTGGCTGACCCGGAAGGAGATCTGCGCCTGCTTCCCTGCGTGCCCCAGTCTGGGGTGCGCAGAGGGGACCCGGAAGTGGCCAGGATGCAGAGGGGCTCCGGGGCCCACTCCTCCAGCAGTGCGGGTGCTGAGGCGCGGGGGAGCTTTTGGGACCCGAGGCTGGGGACTCCCCGCCCCGCACCGACTGCGCCCCGAGAGTCAGCAGAGATGGAGAGAATGGCCCGGGTGGTGTTGGCGGGAATGTGGAGTGGCACAGCTAAAGCAGAGAGTGGTAAGGTGGCGTCTCAAAACGTTAAAAATAGAATTACTGCTATCCCACTTACCAGGCTATGTTAGAAAAAATGGGGTGAGGACGGGCCAGTGTGTCCGTCCACATGGTGAAATACTTCGCAGCCCTGAAAACCAGGCTCTGTCATGGTATAGCAGAGATGGACCTTGAGACCTTGTGTTAAGTGAGAGACGCTAATCATAGGTAAATGTTGCATGATTGCACCTGTGGGACATTCCTGGGGCTGATTCCTGGAGTTGGAAGTGGAGGCTGGGGCTTAGGGGCTGTGTGTGGGCTGTCAGTAGGGAAAGGAATTCAGTTTGGGAAGATGTCGTCCTGGGCGCAGAGGGCGGCAGTGGTTGCATGGCAGTGCGTGCACTGGACATGGCTGCACTGTGCCTTTGGAGGTGGCTGTAGCGGTGACTTTCACGGTGGGTGTGTTTTGTCACAACTAGAATTTTAAAAAGCCAGAGTCATGGTTCCGTGTCCCTATCCGTATCCCTAGCAGGGCAGAGCCGGGCCCCACCGCCTTCAGGGACGCAGAACGCCGTCCCCCAGTTGGCCCGGACGCTGTGGTATGACACGTGAATCTCCGGACACGCAGAGTCCTGACTCAGGCGTCAGAAGGAATGCATGTCATGATAAACGGGCACCAGTGTCCCTCGGGACCCCAGCTTCCCCCCCATAGCTGTGTGGATCGCTGGGTCACCTGGCCGCTCCATTGCTCATGTCGAGGACCCTGGATGCTGCTTCCACGTGCTGTGCTCCCTGCTTTCCCTCCACGGCAGGAGGGTCTCTTTCCTCCCAGGCCCCACTGACATTTGTATCTTCTGTCTTTTTGATAGCAGCTGTTGTAGCTGGAGTGAGGTGGCATCTCATGGAGATTCTGGTCTGTGCTTCCTGATCAGTGAACTAGGTGCCCATTGGCAGAAGAGCGGATAAAGGAAACGTGGTCTAGTGGTCTCCATACACAGTGGAACATTACTCAATCCCAGAAGGAATGAAATCCTGCCTCTGAGGCAGCACAGGTCATGCTAAGTGAAATATGTAGGCAGGGAAACACAAATACTGCGTGGTCCCACTCTCACACGGAGGCTAAAATAGCTGATCTCATAAAAGCATGCAGTAGAAGTGGGGTCACCAGAATCTAGCTGGTGTTGTAGGGAGCTCAGGAGGGCAGGCTGGGCTCCCCCAGGGCTCAGAATGGAGGTAGCCACAGGTGCCCTGGAGAGGGCCAGATGTGTGGTCCCAGATAGCATTGCTTCCTGGGGCTGCATAGCTGTCCATCCATCATCCACAGCTGTGCGAGCTGTAAAGCCCCCCCAATTCAGTGGCCATGGGAACCCAGAATCTGGACCTTCCAGTTTCACCACCAACACACAGGGTTTTCAGCCATCAGCACCAGGTCCCGTGGCCAATCCCAGGCTGGGAAGAATGTGATTCCATCCTGGGCTGTGCCCAGCAAGGCCAAGCTCCTTTCCGCCTGGAGGAGAGGGTGCTGAGTAATAGGCTCCGCTGCCTCGTGTCCTGGTGTGCACACACATGCGCACACGCACACACACAAGTTAGCCCTTTCGCAACTCCACATGCGAGCCTGCTTTCTCAGAACCTGTTCCTGCCCAGGGGTGGCGGTGATGGAGGAGAGCTGGGTCTGGGGATCCCCTTTCAGTCGGGGTCCTGTGTGTCAGAGTGACCTTGCTTCTCCAGCCCCTTGAGCCTCCATCCTGTGCAATTTGACCTTGGAGCGCAGTCCAGGGGGACAGAGGCTGCTCAACTTCCCAACTCGGCTTCTGCCCTTCTCTGCCACTGGCATCAGCACCTAAGTTGCCATATCCCATGTGCTTCTAACTGGAGGCAAAGAAAGAAAAATTAACACAAGGCTATATCACAGCTTGCATTGTAAATGCTGAGGCCTCTTTCTGTGCATTTCTGAAAACCGGGTGGAATAGACTTCTGGGAAGAAATTCCTTGACAGGTGTGCATCTCAAAACCTAGAAACAGCAGCAGAGTCACCCCTGGAACCTGGTGCTGTCTGCTCAGAGGACGGTCCAGTCACCCCGTGTGGGAGGTGGCCTGGGGTCAGGTGACAGGGGCAGGGACAGGAAATTGACATAGCGCTTGAAGCTTCTCAAGCAGTAGAGGCTGAGTCCCGGTAGGATTTAAAGATGAAAGGTGGATGGCCACCTGCTAAGCTCTGAAACACAGTCACCTGTCCTTGTCAAACCCTGGAAGACACACCTGGCCCTGTGCCAGCCCAGAGCACGTCCTTGGGTACCACTGAGGCTGGGGTGCAAAGGCCGTCTTTGGAGTTCGGTTCCTCCATCCTGGGCATGTGCTGGAGTGGCACTGAGCGTGTTGTGTGGCTCTCCAGCTGCCTGGCACGTGAGGCTGCTGTTGTGACCCAGTCATCTCCGTCCATCTCCCTAAGCGGCAGAAAGCAGTTGATTTGCACAATGAATGGATAAAGACTTGGACACAGAGGGGCGGCTGCTAGGAACGGGGCCAGGTTAGGCAGGAGCGTTTAGCATTACAGAATCCCTGGAGGGTATTGCGTTCGGATGCCTTTTGAGCCAGTAGCGCTGTGGGCCTCCCTTTCCTGCCTGGAGGTAGAAAGCTGGCATAGTGCTCCTGACCCAGGTCTGCCTGTGATGCTTCAGGGTAGAAGGGTGAAGGCACAGGGCAGGGCTCTGGTTTCCTTGCAGTGGTACTTGACACCCTGAAGGGGTGGTCACTAGAAGATAGCTTGCATCTGGAATTTTAAAAAGTCTTTTTGGAGAAGCATCAGCTGAATTTTCCCCCCTTAGGGAGGTCAGCTCGTGTTCCCGGTGAGGCCAGGAAATTTGGAAATTTGAGGTGCTTTAGGTAACCATATCTACCCATGCCCTCAGTTCAGATATCTTGTTTGCAAATAACAGAAAAGACAACTCAGATGGGCTCAGACAGTAGAAATAAATTATTGGCACACATAATTGAAGCAGGAGGGCCAGGGAGGCATCGGGTGTAGAGTGATCTAGCAGTTTGCTGTGTGAAGGCAGCGCTCTACTTCTCCACAGCGGTCCCGGCTCTGCTCATCTCGTGTCCTCTTGATCCTCAGGAGTTTGTCCTGACAGGACGTTGCTGTCCTGACCCCAGGCCTGAGATGTGGTCTTGTGGGTTAGGTCTGAAATGGCCCCCAAAGCCTCTGCTTGCTGTGAGGAGGTGGGGTCAGTTGGAGCACGTGGTCACCATGGGCGTGGCCTGGCTTATCTCACTCCTCAGCTCCTCCCCCATATCTCCAGCCACTGTCCTCTGCCAGGCCCCTCTGCCATGTCCTCCTGCTGTGGACCAGCCAGTCACGAACTGAACTGTGAGCCCAAATAAGCCTCTCTCTTAAGTTGTGGCAGTTGGGTGTTGTGTCCCAGGGAGGAGGAACATGGCTAAGACACGAAGTGACACGTTACATCCAGTGTTGACTGTATATTTTATTCATGCTCTCAGGCTCCATCTTGGTCGAATGCTCACATGTGCATGGACAGAGCTGGTGTTTCAGTCAGTTTTTCATTGCTCTGACAAAATCCCTGGCACACACAGCTTAAAGGAGAAAAGATGTACCTTGGCTCACGGTTTCAGAGGGTTCGGGGGTTCAGTCCATGGTTGCCTGCTCTAAAGCAGGAACATCACGGCAGAAGGGCTGGCGGAGCAAAGCTGCTTATGTATGGTGGGAAGCAGAGAACATGGAAAGCCAGAGAGAGAGCGGACCAGGCTGAGGACAGGCTGTGCCCTCCCAGGTTACACCCCATCACCCCACTTCCTCTACCCAGGCCCCGCCTCCAGTTGTTCAGCTGTGAACTGATCAGTGGATTAATCCACAGATGAGATAGTGCCTTGTGATCCAGTCACCTCCCAAAAGCTCTGCCCCCGAACCCCTGAGGACTGGGGGATGTTCAGATCGGAACACACAACTGGGCAGAAGGGGCAGAGCATCCTGAGAGGTTGCCAACGTCTTGCAGGTGAATTTCTGGGCTGAGGACATGGGGTGGGGGGCCCTTCAGGAACCTGCCCAGCCTCACACGGGTCGCTGGAAGCTGTGGGACGTGGAAATGGGTGCTTGGTGTGCTAAGAAGCCAGCCATGTGGGGATGGCCCCTTCTTCCCGGACCATCGCAAGACAGGGTTCCCCATGGGGCTGTCAGGCAGCCAGGGCTGTGTGGGGCTGTCCCTGGCCCCTGGGGCAGCCAGTGGGTGGTCAAGCAGCATGGCACTGTCACTGTGCCCGAACTCACCAGGGATGGGGGCCCGTCCGTCACAGCTGGGGCTCAGCCAGGTGCAGTGGGGCCCAGTGGCCGTGGCTGAGGCGTGGTGCTGAGGCTCAGGCTACGTACTCACATGTGTCTGCAGGGGAGCAGGATGGAGCTTGAGGACAGCCTCACCACAGGAGGCCACCTGGTGTCCCTTGCAGCAGCGCTTCGCAGCATGCCCTGGGCCTGGGTCCACCTGCAGGCGGCTCTCCTGCAGCGTGAAAGGAGAATGCGCACAGGGTAAAGACACAGAGTGGCCGCTGGATCCTTCACCCCTGGGTGTGGAGTTGTCTTTTCACTGCTTGAAGCATTTACTCTCTCCAGGTATGGGGGCACGGAGACCTGTGGGCTGGGCTGGAGTCGGTGCTTCCTGGGGTCCTGCCCTGCCTGGTGTGGACCCGGATGTTGTAATCATGTGCACAGCACAGGCCTGGGACACCGTGTGTGTTCACACATAGTCACACTGTTGTGCAGCTCAGTGCAAAGGCACGGGCAAGCCCTGCAGAGTGGAGATTGCTTAGGAGTTGCTGCGCCTTTGTGCTCCCTCTGCATCTCTGCTGAATTGGTAGATTGCCTCGATGGATGGTTCCACAGCTGGGAGGTGGCAGGGGTTTGCTCCTGTGTTCCAGAAATGTCCTCCAGAATAATAATTATGGGCAGAATTTCCCCAGGCACACAAGTTCCCACGATTCTAATTTTGGACCCCTGTAGAAAATACTTCGGTTGG